CTCTAAATGGTACTGAAATGCGAAGTAGAGAGCTCTAAATGGTACTGGTGAATCCGATAGACAAAAAAATGAGTGATAAATACACTAAAATACGTTTTCGCTTGTTTATTTCGTCGAAAACCGTTTTTCATACGGTTTTGGTGGCGGAAATAGGGTTTTTAGAGATTCAAGTGAAGTTAAAATGGATCAAACATTACCTACCTAGATAGAGCTCGACGAGATCTATCGATTGATATGTAATAAGTCTTCTCTGGGATAAATGCTAGAGACTTTCTCAAATAAATGCTTAGGGACGAAAATTCGAACTTCCTGCTTAAATATTTCGGTTGCCTTAGCTCGGGTAGTTGGGAAAATTTTACCAAATACTCAGTAAAGGATGGCGAACAAAATGCACTATCCAGATTTTCTATCAACTGACTTTTGTTTTTTTTTATCAACAGTATAGTAAAGTTGCAATTGACTCATATAGTTAACTAATTTTTAAAAAACTATTCTATAATATATTATACTCATAATATGCAACCATCACATCGATTCGATGCTTTATTACTCCAAATAGATCGTTTCTATAAATGGGTCAAAAATGGTACAACAGCAAGTAAAGGATTAAAGTACTTGAATAATCTTCTTTAGAACTTAAACTTTAATATTTAGTTAATTCTTGAACAACATCGAGTTAACCAACATCATATATTCTTTAACATAAAAAAAATGTTTCACAAGGATAATGCCTATCTTTCATTTGCTTCTTCACGAAAATGTTTTCGAATAATATATACAAGACTAGATCTTGTCGGTTTATAAGTCTAGATTTAATACCGATTGCATTTAACTATCAGAAATAAAGAAAAATTTCAATAAAATAAATTCATTTGATTGTACTATTGCTTCAATTTTTGGAAGACTTTTCATATAAATTTGTTCATTTAAACTCAATCGATCATAAGATAGATTTCCAATTTGATAAAAATATGTTAATATTGTTTCTCCACTTAATTCTTTATTAAATATTAAAACCAAAATAAATCATTCCAATTAAAAGATTAAAAAGACTTCCTAGAGATTTATTTCAAAATCTATTTTTCTTATTTAAGCTTAATCAAAGATGAGAGAACTCGACGACGACATTCAGCTGAACCACATTTGCAATCCATTCCACGATCAGCTATTTCACCTACTGTTTTAATTATAATTCCAAAAATGAATGAGCAAAAAAGTGAATCCATGGAAAATATATATCATGTGTCTAATTAATAAAGAAGGTGACAATGGTAATATGTCAGCAAAACTGATGCAAATCTGATCGATCTTTTCAAATAAAAAATTGCTTTGTTTTTCGATTTTTGGTATGTTTTAACAAGCAAGCGAATAATTCTATGCAAGAATTATTTATCTTCTTTTTTTGTCGAAGCTCCATGAATAAGATTGAAATAATTTGTTCTAATAAATTTTTCATTTAAAATACACTTACAAGATGTCCAAGAAAAATTATCTGGTCTCCAAAAGCACAATGTTTGTAAATGAGTCATAGAGTTACTAAGAAAAAGCACAAGGTATTTATTGACCAATACAAATCGATTCCGATGCCTAGAAGTAAAACGAAAAAAAAACAACAGTCAAATAAATCATTTTTAGTTATGAGAGTTGACTCGGCGAAAATAAAATGACAAATTTCGAATGGTAGATGTGGATACGTGTCTTCTATTTAGT